AGTAGACAGTCTAGAAACTCTGCTCATCGTATTCAGGGACAACTCAATGCCTATCAAATCCTCCTCTCTATCGTTAGCCCCCTCTCTATCACTATCAAAACATGATGCATCTATGTCATCTCCCTCGTCACTAGAGTCCACAATCATGAAAGCTACATCTGGCTTGCAGTGATGCCCCTTAACCTACTTCTCACCAAAATTTGAAGCACAAACCCTTCTTTCATCCCATTCTATACCTCATCTCTGGAAAGCTTCTTCACCTTCTTCTTTGATGTACTAATCCCTACACTTCTACCTGAAGCTTCTCTTGTATTGCTAGACTCTACATACATTGATTTCTTATGCTAGACTCCTTACTTGCCTTCCGGCTACTAGATTTGCTCTTCTCTTTTATCTTTGCTATCCTCATCGCCTTAGTCAACCTTTGAGGCTACCTTAACTTCACCTCTGAAGCAATCTAGGGCTTCAACATTTCCACAAAAGTCCCTAATAGTGAATCTTTTAGCCAATTCTTCACAAATACCTGTAGTCTTTAAAACTCCTCAATATATTCAACAACATTCCCATCTTGTCTTAGTTTAGCTTACTTACCATGATGGTTCATTACAGGTGACAGGCCCCAGTGAAGCATGAACTCCTCCACAAAAGTGGTTCATACTAACCCCATGCCCTCTTTTTCATGTTGTGTATTTAGCCACCTCCACCAACTATTTGCTAGACTGTCAAGATAAAAACAAGCCACCTCTAGTACTTTCTTATGTGGATCCACCTCATACACGCTAAAATACTATTTGGCCTTTTGTAGCAATTCATGTGGATCACCACCTACAAAGTGTAGAAAGTCGATCTTCGGTCTTCGAGGCCCCTAATCACAATTGTAGTCATCTCTGTCATCTTTATCATACTACCCACATACATATCTACCTCGATGACACTAATATCATCTTCTACCAAAATGAGGTCGTCTCTAATCATAGCCCTAGTCTCCCTCCAGATCTAAGCCTGGATCCTTGTAGTATATCAATGTCTCCGCCTCAAACAAATAATGTTCTCTGATGATTAAATCGATCATTGCCACCTTCAGGTTCCATCTCAACCTTGGCAATTGCAACTTTTTCATAATCTCTCAAACGACCATATCCATAACCCTAAATTGTTGCACTACTACGAGCACTGATAAAGCCCCCTTGACTGCCTATTGTTGCTGCCCATAGCATGTGGCCACCTGCAACAATGTCAACTGCGTCGACCTTGTAGTATCATCAACAACCGCTCGATACCATGGTCGATCGGTCGCTAGCGCTTCCTCGTTGTGGCTCGGCCTACCATCGGTTGTCGGTGCCAATCATGGCATTGTTGCCCAGTGCCCCATCCATCATCGAATTCTCCGCAGCCTATTTCTCCGCCATGAATCCACCACCATCGATCATCATTGTCATTGTGTGCTCTACCGTTAATCAAGTTCTCCACCAATAAAGTCAACCATTTGATAGCCTCCGCTAGTCCTCTGATCTCTTTCTTGTTCTCTTCGTCCCCCTTCTCTAATTCATCAAGCCTCTTTCAATTTAACAAAGTTTGATTATTAGTAGTTGATGACTCTCTTTCCACTATTGTAGATGATCAAATTCTCTAAACAAATGCACCAATTGATGATAGCCCCGGTTAACTTCACACCATCGACGAATCACATTGTATAAAATCTCTACACAATCACCTTCAAATTAAGCAAATACGTAGCCCAAGAATACGAAAAATCAATTTGGAATTCTAAAAATAAGAAACCCTAATTTTATTGATAAATTCTCCCAAGCTTTCAATCACTAAAAACATATAATAAAAACCTAAAACCTAGTCGGCCTTAAATAGTCATTGTTTTGGCTTCCTAAGCAAATTCTATTTGTAAACAAATTCATATTCCAAAACAATTCCCTACTCCTAAACAAATCCTACTTGTTATCAAGTCAAATCCTATGCAAACTCCAATTTCTCATGCATGTAGCTTATTGTGGTTATGTACTGCTCAAGCAAGATCACTCCTATACACTAATGGCTTTGGAACTAGTCCAAGATTCCGCTACTACTCATTAAACAGCTAAAATCTCTCAAACTCTAATCTCACCTCCTTATGTCTCTATTTTCCCTTTATACTATATACGATTCCTATTTGAAGGGCCTAAAATACAAAAAATCACTAGTAAAGTGTTGCCATCCCACGTGACACCCTGTGGTCGGAAGGCTATACTACACGTGTGCAATCTCAGACCTTGGTAATATGCGTTCTTGATCTAAATCAGGCTCCACAAAAAACTCTAATTCCTCCGATCTGATTGAAACCGTGGCTAGAAAATATGCAACTACAAAGTTTTAAGATTAGAGTTTTAACCACTTTAATTTCTGGAAAGTCAATATTTGAGTATAGATTCAACAAGGCTTGATCGAGGCAATACACGCCAACATCGGACTCAAGATAAACTTGGGCTTTTTTCTGTTCAATGGGTCGTGGCCCGTAAGTGCACAATCATATATGGTGGTTGGATTCATGAGAAAATGCTTAATAATTCTTACGAGCTAAGATTATTCCACATTTCTTGACACACCAACTGTAGTAACAATGTTCATTGGATCCCCCCCATGTTTAAGAATTAGAAACTATGATAGGATTCTGCATGTATTGTTGTGAATTTGTAATAAAATCCCAAACTAAAATTCCAACACGCCCCTATTTGCTCTAATTTAAGAAAATTGGAGGACTAATTTCAGAATACAATTTTTGTGAAGGTCTATTTTAATATACAAACAACTTGAGCTGTGAAAATCAGAGGGGAAAAAAGAACCCAACCAAATTCTTTAAATCCAAATTCTTTCCTTGTACCCCGTGCCAATTGGACAGCCCAACCTAAGGCTAGATAACATGAGCTCATCAATATATTGATGACTGGGCCTACATAAATAGGCCTCACGTAACTGTCAGCCCTCAATTGCCAACCAGGGAAAGCTGACCATCACCAGTGAGACACAGTGAGACAGATGCGGATAGAAAGAGGGAAGAAATCAATGACGCAACAAAAATTCCACTGTTTTAATCTCATTATTTTTAGAAATTATAGTTACTAAACAATTTTTTCCACTTACCTAGCTCATACATTATCATCTCTACATCAATCTCACCAAAATGAAGCATCTATCTCGTTAATAAGTCACTTCACCTTTTGTTTCTCCTCCTTTCCTCTCTTCTCCAAAACCATCTAGCTCTCTCTTTATAACTTTGTCTCTCTAACTTTCCTCTTACTAATACTTATCATGTTGGAAATAAGACTCTCCCTCTCTACCGAGACTGAACCAGCAAGATTGCAAGCTCCCCTACCCTGTGATCCACTGCGGAAACAATTATAAAATCAACTTGGTGCAAAACTCAATTTAGTGGAAAAGATGAATAACAATATTATAGATGCAAGTGGATACGAGAGATTTGCATGCATGGTTCGGCAAAAACCGTTTACATCCACGACCGAGAGCTATACATTCTTTGTTTTTTTTTGTAGAATATAAGAGAGTTACAATTGGACCACTCACTGACGCGAACCCATAACTCCCTATACATCATTTCCCAAAATACCAAAAGAACACTCTCACGGTCACTTAACTATGCTCATTTTTTACATCTCCTTCTGTGTCTCTCCTGTTGGGAATTTTTTAATGAAGTGATTAACTTTTGAAAAGTTAATCAAAATGTGCTCAAAGACTTCTTAAAAAATGATGCATCCATATTTAAAAGATGAAATACAAGAAGACAAACTTGCCGAAATTTTGCTGAAAAAAGAAAAAAAGTTTTGGGCCCCACCACAAGAAAATTAGGACGTAGGCTTCACATGCATAGTAAAATAATATTATTTTATTAATATATAGTAATTTTCCAAATGTTATAAATAGACCACAAACTCTTAAGGAAAATTTATTCCAAAAACAACAATTAATATATACAGAGATATATATATATATTGTAAAATAGCTAGTGCTTGTAGGAACATTGTCTGGACCGAGAAGGTCTTCTAGATCGAGGAGATCATTGCCTGGACCGAGAAGGTCTTATAGATCGAGGAGATCATTGCCTGGACCGAGAAGGTCTTATAGATCGAGTAGATCGTTGTCTTGATCGAGAAGGTCTTATATATCAAGGACATCGTAGCCTTGACCGAGACGTCCTATAGATCAAGGAGATCTTAACAGTACTTAGTCGGTGCACACCAGAGTACTGTACTGCTATTTTTGGAAGTAATTTAGCCTTGGGATCCTTGCACCAGAGTAGGCAAATATTACTCTAAGCACAACATTTTACAAACGCACAGCAGCTGAGTTAAAAATTTTAAATTACTGCACTTCAGCTTTCTTTTTAGTTTTTGATGCTTTATATTTGTATTATTCCAGATTTAACCACAAGCGCCAACAATCTTAAAGTAATATTTTGATCTACCATGGATCATGCAAGGACTCTTGGAGTAGACTGTCTTAAGTTAGAGAATTTTAACGAATCCAACTACAACGCATGGCGTCGGAAAGTGATCTTCGGGATACAACTTCTGAAAATCTACTATGTGGTTTCTGAGGAGAAACCCGACTCTGAAGAAGATTCTAAATCTAAAAGCTCTTGGGCTAGAGATGATTACTTCTGTAGGAGTTATCTCCTTAACTACCTGGCCAATCATCTAGCAGATGCTTACACCAACAAGCCCTCTGTAAAAAAAATCTGGAATGCTCTGAAGGATCAGTACAAGGATGTGGAGAAGTTTTCCAAATTTCACCTCATCGTTAAATTTCTAGATTTCAAGTTTGAAAACGACACTGAGGTTTTGTCTTAAGTCAAAGAGCTTGAAAAGCTTGTTGTGGAGCTAAAAGATGAAAATATCAGTCTTTGTCAAACCTTCATTTTTGGTACAATTGTCAACAAGCTTCCTTCATCTTGGATGACATTCTCCACTGACATTCGAAGAAGGAAAAGACAAATGACTCTATCTAATTTGAAAATATTCATTCGGATCGAGGACGAGACTCGGATTCGCATGAAGAATGAGCTCATCGTTAAGCAGAAGGCGACTACTAACATTGTGGCTGCTAACTCTGAGAAAGGTAATAATTTATCTTTCAACAAGAAGAAGCTCTTTAACAAAAGGAAGAACCAGAATCCAAAGAACCTGAACGTTCAGAAGAAGGAGTTCAAGAAGAGCGGCAAATGCTTCAATTGTGGGAAGTAAGGACATTTTGCCAAGGACTGCAAAGCACCAAAGAGAGAAATTACACACAATGTCAATCAAGTTGATGATTGTGTGGCTATTATCTTCCAGGTAACAACTCCTAATAGCAATATCTCTGATTGGTGGTTAGATACTGGTGCTACTTGTCATGTTTGCTCCAATAGAGATTTGTTCTCTTCTTATGCTGTTACCAAAAAGAACGTATCAATGGCTGATCATTCTGTGATTCCTGTTCTTGGAACTAGGACTATGGTACTAACTCTCTCTTTAGGAAAGACTCTCACATTGAAGGATGTGAAACATGTTCTCTTAATTGTCAAAAACTTAGTCTTTGGAAGCCTGCTATGTGATGCAGGTATGAGGCTGGATTTCCAATGAGGTAAGGTTGTATTATCCTTTAAGAAAATATATTTTGGTAATACATATCGTACTAATAGAATATATAAGATCAGTACTATTGCACCCAACTTGGTTATAAATAAAGTATCATCTTCTGCTTACTCCCATGTATTATGGCATAATAAGCTAGGACATATAAATTATAGAAAATTTTCTGGCATAAAGAAGTTAGGATTACTTTCAAAATGTGGGGGTAATAAACCTGAGAAATATGAAGTTTGCGCGCAAGAAAAACTGACGAGGAAACTATTTTCAAGTGTCACGAGGAGCACTAACATGTTAGATCTGATTCATCCAGATACTTGTGACTTCAAGAGCTTCGTCACTCGTGGCAGTAAGAATTACTTCATCACTTTCATTGACGATCATTCTCGCTTCTATCATGTTTACTTGTTGAAATCTAAAGATAAAGCCTTCAGCAAGTTTGTCGAGTTTTGGACTCGAGTGGAGAAGCAGCTTAGACTGTAGGTGAAAAGACTCAGGAGCGACAGAGGCGGAGAGTACCGATCTAAGGAGTCGGAAGTATACTTCAAGGAGCATGGAATCATTACTGAAACTACCACTCTGTATTCTTCACAATCTAATAGAATTGCAGAAAGAAAGAATCGCACATTGATCGAGATGGTGAATTCGATGCTAATTACATCTGGTTTACCTACCTACTATTGGGGAGAGGCTTTGTTGATGGCAAACTAGATTCTAAACAGAGTACCCTAATCTAAAATGATAGTACTCCTCATTAGTTATGGTTGGGATATACAGACCCTTTGGATAATATCAAAGTGTAGGGGTGTCTTGCATATGTTCGAATTCCAGATATCAGAAGGCCTAAGCTCGGACCAAAGGCTAACAAATGTGTGTTTCTTGGCATATGTTCGAATTCCAGATATCAGAAGGCCTAAGCTCGGACCAAAGGCTAACAAATGTGTGTTTCTTGGCTTCACTAAAGATAGCAATGCTTGCAGGTTCCTGGACCTTGGAACCAACTCCATCATTGAAGCTTGAGATGCAGAATTCTTTAAGGATAAGTTTATCAAAGATAAAGGCTTATTGCTCAAAAATATAGCAGAGAATGCTAGTACGTCAGATGCACAAGAGGAGTTAATTTCGTGAGAAATCGAAAGTGTTAATGATGAAGAAGTTACTGAAACATCATCCAAGTGTGTCAGGAGACAGAAAAATTTTAGAGATGACTTCATCACCTATAATGTGGATGGAGACCTACAGACTTTCTAAGAAGTAATGCAGTCAACAGACGTTCTTCTGTGGAAAGAACCTATAGATGATGAGATAGATTTATTGATCCAAAATCACACTTGGGAGTTGGTGGATGTGCCTAAAGGTGCAAGGCCTATTAGTTGCAAGTGGATATTCAATAAGAAGCTTCGTCCTGATGGTACTATTGAGAAGTACAAAGCAAAACTGGTGGCGAAAGGATTCTCTCAAAAAATGTATAGATTTCTTTGATATCTATGCACCAGTTTGTATGATCACTACCATCAGAGTGCTTATCGCATGAGCGACGATTAAAAGGTTCATCATATATCAGATGGATATGAAGACTGTATTTTTCAATGGAGATCTCACAGAAGAGATCTACATGGAGAAACCAGAAAGACTTGATGATCCAGTTGGTAAGGTTTGTAAACTTGTTAAGTCTTTATATGGACTTAAGTAGGCACCAAAACTCTGGCATGAGAAGTTCGATGGGGTTGTTCACAACAATGGGTATCAAGTCAGTGAATCTGACAAGTGCCTATACATCAAGGTCGCTGAAAGAAAGGTGATGGTTATATGCCTCTATGTGGATGATATGCTAATTAATTGGAATGATTTGGAGATAGTAATATCTACCAAGAAATTTCTTTCAGCACAGTTCAGCATGAAGGACCTTGGAACTGCGGACGTAATTCTCGGAACCAAAATCATATACTCTGAAGAGGGTATTGGATTATCCCAATCTAATTATATCGAGAGCATGCTCATGAAGTATGGCTACAACGACTTGCCAAAACTATCAGTGTCATACGATTACAACAAGAAGTTTCGACCAAACATTGGAAGACCAGTAGAGCAACTGAGGTACTTAAAGATCATTAGGAGTCTCATGTACGCGATGAGCTGCACAAGACTAGACATTGCATTCGCTATAGGAATGCTTAGTAGGTTCACAAGTAATCCTGAAAAGCTTTATTGAGATGTTTTCCAGAGATTGATGAGATACTTGAAAGGAACTACAGGTCTGGGCCTATTCTACATTGGATATCCTGCTGTAATCGAAAGCTATTCAGATGCGAACTGGCGCTCAGAACCAGATGAGTGCAGATCTACTGAAGGATTTGTCTTCACTATGGGTGGAGCTGTCGTCTCGTGTAAGCTAAGAAGTAGACCATGATTGCACAGTCATCGATAGAATCTGAGTTCTTCGAACTCTGTGCTGTAGGAGATGAAGCTGAATGGCTTAGTTATTTTCTCCAAGACCTTCCTTTGACAGAATTATAAGACGCAGTTACTATCTATTGTGATAATCAAGCGACGAGTGTTGTGGTAGTGAATTTGATGTTCAATGGAAAGAAGCAGACCATTCATCCGAAGCATGGCTGTTTGAGAGAGCTCATCTGTCAAGGAGTCATCTCTGTGATTGACGTCCAATCTTCAGAGAATGTGGCTGATCCTTTGACTAAGGGTCTGAAAAAGGACATAGTCGAAAGGATGTCTGCTGGAATGGGTCTCAAAGTTTTGTAAGTCTTATAAATACTTACCATTTATATCAAGTTTTTAGTTCAAAGCTTATGTTACTAATGATAAGATAATTGGTTCAAAAGTCAAGTAAGATTTATAAAGTTTGGTGGGTCTTACAAATACTTACCATTTACATCTAGTTATTAGTTCAAAGCTTATGCTACTAATGACAAGATAAATGGTTCAAAAATCAAGTAAGATTTACAAGTAAAATCCTAAAGGGGGTTCAAGTTTTCTTGGATTAGTTGGTGTCTAAGGCAAGGTTTAAGGGTTGCGTAACGCGCTCCGCAATGAACTAAGTATTTAATTGATCTTTGATCTCCCTCTAGTACTATCCTTACCTGACTGAACTAACTGGGTAAAATTTTGATCTTATTCACCTAGAATCCTATTATGAGAGAGGATGACTCTTAAGCTTTAATGAGTTCAAAGCATTTCGGATGCGGGATGTTTGATAGGAAACATGCCTAAAGAACTCACCTATGCATGGGTGGAGATTTGGCCATCTCCTATGGTGTCTTGTGAAAAGATACCTAGAGCCCTAGCAAAAACCAGGACATGCACAGGGCAATAAATATGCAAAGGCAAAGGCAAGGCAAAGGCAAAGGTAATTGTGGTTCAAAGTAAAAACTACAACAAATAAGTTTGATCTTGTTTGACCGCTGGATTTTTAGACATGTGCTGGTTCAAGTCTTTGCAACACCATGCATCTATCTTTTATTCAGTTGGTCTAAAGGGGATTCAAGTCCTTGCGACATCTTCCTTAAGCATAACGATTGAAACAAACGGCACCGTTACACGATACTAATTTTAAAAACTTGTGGGGATTGTTGGGAATTTTTTAATAAAGTGATTAACTTTTGAAAAGTTAACCAAAATGTGCTCAAAGACTTCTTAAAAAAGGATGCATCCATTTTTGAAAGAAGAAATATAAGATGACAAACTTACCAAAATTTTGCTAAAAAAAGTGGTGGGTGTTTTCGTCAAAAGTTGGTCTCGTTGTGGAATTCATTATATCTTCGATCGATTACAACAAATTCAAAAGAAATAGCCTTTTATAAGACCTCTTTTACACAACAAAATAAAAATTATAACTTTTTAGAAACAAACGTAGGATCGTTGTTTGGATCACTACTTGTGTGGGATCTTTGCCTGTGTCGGGAGCGCTTTGACTCGTGGACCACCAAATCACAGATTCTGATTGAATCGTGAGGGGTTTAATGATTCTTCCTTCGTTTATCGAAGTGAGAATTTGAAACGATATCTTATCAAAGTAAGATAGTCATTCTTCTTGAGATCAAGTCAAAGCTCGAATCTCAAGGTATTGCCAGAAGCTCAGGAACTCTGCTCTCTCTGCTCCAAAGTGCTCAAAAATCATCAGCCCCTCAAACAAATGATCACAGGGGGGTGTTTATAACCCCTGGACGAATAACCACTTCCGAGACAGTGTTTGCTGTCTCGGTGGCCGAGACAGCAAAGACTGTCTCGGGTTCCGAGACAGTAAACACTGTCTCGGGTATCCTCTATCTCGCACGGCGAGACAGCAAAGACTGTCTCGCGTGCGAGACAGTCTATACTTGTGTTCTTTTGATTTTTTGGATGATTTCCTCTTGAGCTGTATTTGGATATCTTTTCAGCATTTTTTGACGCCTACAGATACCCCCTCCAAAGTATTCCAGACTCATTTTTATATAGAGGAGTCTGGGATACTTTGGATAAGATGGGTCTAACTTTTAATCCTTTCAATACTTGATTGAGTAGATCGTACGGAAGGATCCATAAATGGCTTCAACTCTTGACTTCTTTATCTTTTAGCCTATTCAGTGCTTTGTAGAATAGCTAAAATTCCTTCGGTGCTGCGCTTATCGCGTGGCCGTTGTGGAAGTCTTGAATTAGAACTGCTATTGAAGAATGGAGAAATAGTTTATACTCGTATACCTTATTGGAGTGTTCGGGAAATAGTTTAACCTCATATACCCGTTGGGAGATAATCAGGTTATTCTTAAGAATATTTTGAGTAATATTCTCCAGAAACTTCCTATTGAGGGTAGGGAAACAGTTTAGACTAGTGTACCCATTGGAGTATTCTGGTCTCTTTTTTGTTGATAGAGGTGAACCCGATGATGGAGAGGAAGAATTTTATATTCTATCTCCTGGTCTCTTGTTTGTTGGTAGAGATGAACCCGAAATCGAAGAGGAAGAATTTTATATTCTATCTCCTGGTCTCTTGTTTGTTAGTAGAGATGAACCTAAAATCAGAGAAAAAGAATTTTATATTCTATCTCCTGGTGTAAAGAAAACTCGAAGTGGGATCTCTACTTAGAGAATCTAGAGTGGTTTGAATAACCCTAACTGTCATAAGGTTTGATTATCCAATTTAAAGTTGGACCTTTCGTTCGCAAAATGAATCGAAAGGAGATTTTGACTGTGGTCCTAACTGTAGTAAGGTTTGACCAGGTGGGAGTTTCGAGGTGATCCTAACTGTAGGAAGGTTTGATCGCTCGATTTATGGACCTCTCGTTCATTGAAGGAATCGAGGGGGGATTTTGGCTTTGGTCCTAACTGTTTAAAGGTTTGACCAAATGGACAGTGAGACGATCCTAACTATTTAAAGGTTTGATCGTTCAATTTGTGGACCTCTCGTTCATGGAAGGAATCGAGAGGGGATTTTGGTTTTGGTCCTAACTATTTAAAGGTTTGACCGAATGGGAATTCGAGACGATCCTAACTGTTTAAAGGTTTGATCGTTCAATATGTGGACCTCTCATTCATGGAAAGAATCGAGAGAGGATTTTAGCTTTGGTCCTAACTGTTTAAAGGTTTGACCAAATGGGCAGTGAGACGATCCTAACTGTTTAAAGGTTTGATCGTTCAATTTGTGGACCTCTCGTTCATGGAAGGAATCGAGAGGGGATTTTGGTTTTGGTCCTAACTGTTTAAAGGTTTGACCAAATGGGAATTCGAGACGATCTTAACTGTTTAAAGGTTTGATCGCTCGATTTGCGGACCTCTCGTTCATTGAAGGAATCAAGAGGGGATTTTGGCTTTGGTCCTAACTGTTTAAAGGTTTGACCAAATGTGAGTTTTGTGAGGGAAGATTGATCTAAAGAAGTGATCGAATCTCATCTCAACAAAAGAGTATTCGGAAATCACCGTGGGGATGTAGTGTTTATCACTTTGTTTGTAACGATCGGGTTATCCCTAAGAAAATTATATATAGCATTCTTCCGACAACTTCCCGTTACATGAACCATCCACCCCCAGCTTCCTTCGCGAAACTGGGTCTAACATCATACTGAGTTACATGACCGGGTTATCCTTAAG